TGTGTTTGCGTTAACCAATGATTTGCATAAAAGCAAGAATTTTTGCTGATTTGTATGCAATGCTTACGTAATCTGTAAGACACTCTCGTTTGAGTCGACCCTCAACTTGACTTTGAAATGCTATAAATATTTGGCAATAATTGATGTAATTTTTGTGTTTGACTCTAAATTTAAATGCATTTCTCAGTTCAATGCTATTCATTGCTTGAAATAATATTTTTTATTTCAATTGCATTTCAGGACTGTTATGACAAAACCGAAAGAGTTTTTTAAGAATCGTTTCGCCAGTACTGAAAACGTTAGTTCAGCAGAAAGTAAGTCATAAATAATATTTGCTTTTTATACGCTTTGATAATGTAATGACGGATTGATTGCATTGATTAATAACAGAGACAAACGAGGAAACGGTGGGCGCTGTAAGCGGTGCGACGAACGCTGACATTGAATGCGGAGACACAACCACTGGTAACAAATATGGTGTGAGTGGAGGCCAAACGGGCGGTCACTTCGCGCACAGTCATAGTCACAGTCACAGCACTAAATACACATCCGATGACGAAAGCTCTAGTATGACGTCGGGTTCCGGCCATTTGGGTGCGCACGCGGTCGCCGGCACCGGCACTGGCGGCTCGTTTAGTCCCCTCCGCAAGAACACAGTCCTTCAGGCGTCCACTCATTTACCGCCGCCGCCCGACACTGCCGTCACGCCCACCGCTCTCATCGATATGGAGCAGATTGTCATTGAATTGAAAGAACGCCGCGAAGAATGTCGACGAATGTCCGAAGACGTGGATTCGCTCAAGAGTCAACTCCAGAACGAATGCTCTGTATTTCATCAGTCATTGCAAGAGGAAAGGTATCGGTTTGAGGTATAGAGCGATACATCCTTTTATTTGTTTCTTGTTTTATAAATGCATTGAAAGCAAAGTTTATTTTTTGTCGCGTAAAATTGCATTTATTTTCTTTTTTATAAAAATTTATTATTAATTTAAAAATCCCTTTTTTGGTACATCTTATCGTTTATTTATGACTTGTTTTATTATTTTTACGAATGATTTATTTGATGTCATATTTTGTCTGAACAGAGAT